TTTAGTCTATCAGTGCCATGCGGTAAGGAGCAATGGAAACCAAAGCTGAACCTGATAATACTTCAATGTCAAACTCTAACTGACGATCAGGTGGTAGTACTAACAACTCTTTTGAAAACAAGTTAGTGAAATATTACACGACACGAATGTCCTTGAGTGTTGGACTTGAAATTCTGGTACCGCTTACGTAACCATAAAGGCTTTGCAACCTTGATCAATTATTTTGTGATCCTTCACATCCAAGACAATCCTTAAATACCCTGACTTCTCACTGGTCATTACTAACTTGGTTCTATCGACTATTCTGAGCTCGAGTTACTTGGCTTTGCACTTTAAACTTGTATCATGCTAGGATAACCAGTCCATTACCAAGATCATACCTAAATCCTAAAATGATAACTCTATTAGGACAATCCTGAAATGATAAACTAATATCATGTTTGTAGCAATGCACTCCTCACAAGCTCTCACAATATGCTGCCAATAGGCCACTCTCGGCTCAGCACCAGCTACTGACCTAGTCACCTCTTTGTTATATTATTCAGATATAATGCAACCACCTTTCCCCCAGCTTTAATGAATAGATGGTGCAAATCATTAAGTCAATGCTAGACTTGTGCTCAAATTCTCTAGACAATCCCTGATGATGTGGTCCAAAGAACCACAACTGAAGCAACCCTTTGGCACACTTTGACATGTCCCCAAATATATCCTCTCATAGTGAGCACAAATAGGGTGGGTGAAGATCCTCAATGAATCACTGCCACTCATCCTCGAAGCTGACATTAAGGTATCTTACAAGGCTTAGACCTATACCCACGGTCTGAGTTCTATGCTAGCCTCTTAGATTAGCTTGATAGGGACCTCTTGGGAGTCTTTAGCCCTTTTGGTCGACGTCTGAGAGGACCTCGTTGGCTCATTGATTTTCCTAGTATGTCATACTCATTCACTCACTCATCTAGACATCAGGTGCAGGTGGGGTTAGTGGCACAGCTGGTACCCTAGGGATAGCCCTAACGATCTATCTAAGTACTGAGGTTAAGTCCATAAAGAAGTTCATTAACCACCACATCCTTTGGAATCTCAAACACAGAATCTGAGATGAACTCACCACCGGTGTCGCTAGCAAGAGAAGTGTGACTCTTATTCATAGCCTTCTGACTATGAGTTTAATTGTCAGTCTGGGTTTGTTTCTAAAAATAACAGAAGAAGAGAGGTTATTATTCTAGATACTAAAGTACTCTTGACACTCTAGAGGCATATAACCACATTGACGTTTACTAAGTCTAATATACGGGTCTTAAGAATGACTGAACCTGAATGTTCTGTTACTACTAAATGTAATACCCTAATTCAATCAAACCCAAAGGTCGATCGACTAGAGTATTATACGGGACCATCGAAGTTGCTAACCCAAAATTTTTCTTAAAAAAAATTGAAATCACTATTTAAATCAACATCAATAAAACATAAACATTTAAGTTTGTAAAAGTGGGGAGCTCTCAATACATCCCAAAATAATACAATCAAGTATTTCAAAATGGATGTCTACTGGTAGAGTTTTTTCTAGAGCGAGAATTTGCTCTCCATTCTCTCTAGATTTCTCTTTGGAGTTGGGTTCTCGGTTGGTCTTAGCAGTTTCTTCCATGTATTTCCATGGATTCCTGGTTGTTGAGATCCATTTATGGAGCTCAAAACGGTTATTTTTACACAAAGTCCGGTTGTTTTCTTATCAAGTTCCTAGATTGTTAGGATTTGACCGTTGTTCAGTTGTCAAAAGTTCTTCTCGGTGTTCTTTCTTAGTGTAGGAAGTTGAAGGTAAGAGTTGTCTTTATTATCATTATAGTTCCTTACTCGTGATTTATGGTTTGTAGGATCTTCTTAAGGGTCGCAGGCGATGAAATGAATTAGATAGAGGATTTGTAGCTTATGTGAACACTCGAAAGTGGTTTGTTGGGAATGGGTTCTTTAAGGGAGGAGAGAAGAGGAGGACTAGAAGAAGGAATTGGGAGGATTTGGGAGTATAAGTGATCGGGTAAAATTGGCAATAGGTCAAGGAGTTCGATGGAGTTGTGAGTCGAAAAAATCAGTAGGTTTCGATAAGGGAAAAGAAGAAGATTATCGAAGCTAGTTTACCAAAAGTAGAAGGGGAAAGATTAAAAAGATTAGAGGCTATTACACGTTTGCAGCTGCTGATGTATGGACTGGCAAGTGGTTAGGGGTTTGGTTTGTTAAAGTAAAGCTGCCCATTAAGGGAGAAAGCGTGTGGTGTAGTGATTTTGGGGTGAATTATTTTAGAGGGAATTATCAAACAAGGAAAATTGGGGGATTTTTGATTGAAGAGACAAGTCAAGAGCCCATTATTGATATAATATTAGGTTACTTTTGGGGATTTTATTAGAAGTATGTTAAATTGAAGTATCTAAGGATGTCTAAGTATGATTTGTGGTATTGTCAGGTGGGAGAACAATTTATTTATTTGTTTCGATGACAGCAGATTGTACAACAGGAAGTATATTTTCAATGCAGTATTGGGCTGGTCTACTCGATGTATTACCCTATGCACTCAGCAGGTGAGATTAGTTGGGACAAGGCGTCGGGCGAGAGACTTAAGTCCCGTCAGGCAGAGCAGGTAGGCAGTATCTGCTTTCACTGTACGGATAGGTTCTTCGGTCACTGTACGGACATGTTCTGCGGTCACTGTACGAACATGTTTATAGGCTGGAAAATCTGTGAGGGATTGCTTTTTTTCGGGGAAATAGAATATTCAAATAATTTTATCTTGGTTGGTATTTTGAAAAGATATCTTATTGTAAAGAATTTATTAAGGGTTGGTAGAGAGTGTAAGTGGGTAAAGTCACATCGAAAATCACCTAGTCAATTTGGTGGGATTGCTAGTCGGGATTGGGATAGGAGGCTAAGGGGAGAGGAGGTCGATCTTACCTCTCATAATCTCAAAAGAAAGTTCTCTACCTTTGTCTTTATTTTTCGGAGTAACTTCTTTAAAGTGTTGGCTAACAAAAAAGGGTGTAAGAGTGGTATTTTGATTTCTTCTTCATTTGATCATTCTACTAGTACAATGTCAGAAGAGGTTGTAGATATTATGAAGCATCTGAGATTCACTGATGAGGAGTCGGAGGATATCTCTCCACCAAGGGTCATTACTGAAGATGATGTGATGGAAATGGATAAGTGGATCGTTGCAAAGATAATTGGCTACAAGAGACTGGATAGCGAGGTGGTGATGCGGGTCTTTCGCTCTATTTGGGGTCATGCTAGACTCATGGATTTAAGTATTTTGAAAGACAATATATTCCTATTTAAGTTCAAAACTCTCTCAGACAAGCAAGTGATTTTGAAACGTACCCTATGGAGTTTTGAAGGAACTCTTTTGGCAATAGTACACTTTGATCCTACACTAAGTCTTGAAGAATTTGACTTCAAGGCTCTAGTTGTGTAGGTGAGAATTTATGAGCTCCCTTTAGAGATTATATAGATTGAGACAACGGAAAAGATTGGCAATAGAATAGGCAAGACCATTGCTACTGATACAAGGTCCGGAGCATGAAGAATGGGTGACTACCTTCGGGTTAGAGTGGATATTGATTGCACCAAGCCATTGAGCAGATGTGCCAAGATGGGGCAGCTCGCGAATGGGCAACTGAGGAAGTGTTTGCTCAAATACGAACGGTTGCCCTCCTTTTATCATAGGTGTGGTATAATTGGCCATGTGCTTACTGAATGTTCGGGTTTCTCGAAACAAATGCAGTATCCTCTCCAGTTTGGGTAATGGCTCAGAGTGTTGCCTAATAAGCGATAGAATAGAGTAGAAGTAGAAGAAGGTAAGGGATTATTTATGTTGAATGTGAGAATAATGGTCGGTCGATGACAAGTTCGGCAAACAACCCGCTTACAGAACGGGTTACAAGGACTCCCCAAGGTAGACCGTGGATGCCGGGAAGAGATCTCATGCTCTCATCAAACTCTAATCAAGAGGATGATACTGATCCGTCTGATCCCACCGATCCTGATAGCTCCCTCCCTCGAACTTTTCTGGAGTATTTCCTCAGTCGTGTTTGCGATATGGTGGAGGAGCAACAGCCTGATCGAGAACCGAGCATGAGGGCCGATATTGGTTCTTCGAGTTTGGGGAAGAGAAAGAACGGGGAGCCGAGTAAAGGAAAACGGAGGGTAAAACGAGTGAATCGCCAAGTGGTGCATATCTCTGACTCTACCTTGAATTCTAAGGTGGGTACTAGTGTGGAGGAGGACCCAAGCGAGTTACCGGAGGAATGTACCGGTGATGTTATGTTGACGGTGGTGGCTGAGGTTCAGCCCCACCAGTCGCCTTGACGATCTTGAGCTGGAACTGTCGAGGGCTTGAGAACCCTACGACAGTTCAAGATCTTAGGAGGATGATCTCCGAAAAAGACCCAATGTTGGTTTTTGTTTCTGAAACAAAGTTGCAGAAAAATAAGGAAGAGGCTATTCGTCTTGCTACAAATATGTTCGGATGTTTCTCAGTTGAAATAGTGGATTAGTGTGTTGGCCTAATGATGCTTTGGAAGGAAGGTATCAAGTTTTCTCTCCAGAGCTTTTCCAATCTTCATATCGATGTGGAAGTCCTTTGGAAAGAGCATAGATTCTATTTTATGGGATTTTATGGTCGTAGTGCGTGGTCGAACAAGAAGCATAATTGGGAGCTGATTTCTCATTTGGCATCTACTTCCTTATTCACTTGGTGTTTGGGAGGTGATTTTAATGAAATTATCCATCCGGACGAGAAGAGAGGAGGTCAGAAACTGGTGAGGGTGTATATGGAGGAGTTCCAACAATGTCTTCGTGGAGCGGATCTGTGGGACATTCGACCTAGGATTGGATGGTTTACTTGGGCTAGTGGTACTCGAGCCAAGTCTTTTGTGTGTGAAAGATTAGATAGATTTGTGGCAAAAAATGACTGAAGGCTCTTGTTCCCGAAGTGTTCCGTGGTTACGATTCCGATGGCTATGTCTGACCATTCTACGATTTCTCTAAGTTTGGAGGGTCATTTCCCTTGTTGTTCCACTAGGAGAGACTATTTTAAGTTTGATGAGTGTTGGGCTAATAAAGATCAATGTCGGCAAATTGTCAAACATGTTTGGGAGAATACCGATGACCCTTTCTCGGTTAAAGTGGGGAAGTTAGGGGATAGGCTTAGTACTTGGAAATGGGTGAGAAGAGGTCAAGAAAAGAGGGATGAGAGACGTATTAGAAGCCACATTCTTCGGATTGATTCAGGTCCAGTTTCAGATGAGTCATGCGAGCAGCGTAGGAAAGCGTTGGTTGAGCTGAAGGACATCATGGATAAGGGTGAGAAGTTTTGGCTTCAAAGATCCCGTGTTGCGTGGCTTAAAGATGGGGATCGTAATTCTACTTTCTTCTATTCTAGAGCAAATGGACGTCGTAAAAATAATTGGATTGAGGGGGAGGAGAGTGAAGGGGGAATTTGGTGTGACAAACTGGAGGATATTTTTGGTGTTGCAACAAGATGTTTTTCCTCTCTCTTTCGATCTTCCGAATCGGCACCTGACGATGAGATCCTTCAAGCCATTGCTTGATGTATTTCTCCTAGTGATAATGAGATGCTTTTCCGGAACTTTACCGCTGAGGATGTTACCATTGCCTTCTCACAAGTTAACCCTTCAAAAGCCCTAGGTTTTGATGGCCTTTCTGGTCAATTTTTTCGCTCTTTTTAGGATATTATTGGAACTGATTTTGTAGAACTTTGTTTAAGTCTGTTGAATGGTTTGTCTGACTTCCATTTTGTTAATCATACTGTTATCATGTTAGTTCCCAAAGTTACTAGTCCAAAATTAATAAAGAACTTTATACCGATTAGCCTTTGCACGGGCATTTATAAGGTTGTGTCCAGAGCTATTGTTAATCGCTTAAAGCCTTTGATGCATGCTTGTATTACCGAAAACCAATGTGCCTTTTTCCCAGGTAGATGTATCTCGGATAATTTCTTAGTGGCTCATGAGCTTATTCATTATCTCAAGGGGTCAAAAAATGGACCTAATAAGGGAGCGGCCATTAAGTTAGATATGGAGAAAGCATATGATAGAGTTGAATGGGAGTTTCTTTTTGATGTTATGCTTCGGATGGGTTTTAATAATTCCTTTGATAATCTTAATCGAAAGTGTATTTCCACTATTTTTTTCCAAGTGTATATTAATGGGGTTTTACCTGACTCTTTCATTCCTCAAAGGGAACTCCGTCAAAGAGATCCTTTATCTCCATATTTGTTTCTATTTTGTGCTTAGGGACTCTCTGCGTTACTTCTGAAGGCATAAAGAAGGAATGAGATCAAGGGAATTAGAGCTAGTTTGAGAGGGCCGAGAATCTCTCATTTGCTGTATACAGATGATAGTATTCTGTTTGTTAAAAATTTTATTGGGGAGTTGCGCAGGGTTAAGAGCATTCTAAATCTGTACGAAAATGCTTCAGGCCAGAAGGTAAATTTTGAAAAGTCAAGCATCTATTTCAACCCTAATACTCCCGATGCGGATTGATAGAGTTTTTTGACTGTTTTAGGGGTTGTTGAGGCCGTGGATCCAGGGAACTACCTCAGCTTACCTCTTGCTATTGGGAAAGGTAAGCGAGCGGCTTTTAACTTCATCAAAGACAAGACAGAGAAAAGGATTCAGGGGTGGAAAAAATGACTCCTCTCTTTTGGAAGGAGGGAGGTCTTCATCAAGTCGGTGGTTCAGGCCCTTCCAGCATATGCTATGTCCTGTTACCTGCTTCCGGAAGGTTTTATTGAAGATATCAAGTCTCAAGCAAGGTCCTATTAGTGGTCGAGCAAACAAAATTCTAGAGGATGTCTGATGGTTTCATGGGACAAGGTTTGTCGGTCAAAAAAACTGGGAGGTATCGACTTCAGGGATCTTAGCTTGTTTAATATTACACTGCTCAGAAATCAGATTTGGAGACTTATACAATATGATAATTATTTTGCATTTAAGGTCCTTAAAGCTAAGTACTTCCCAAACTTATCGTTTTTTGAGGCAAAACTTTGGGATTGTCATTCTTATGCTTGGGCGAGTCTGATGAAGGCCAAAGAGGCTCTTAAGGATGGGTTTTTTTAGGGTGGGGGTTGATAGTAGGGCTCGTATGTTTGAGGACAAGTGGGGGGATTCTAGCCCCATTTATTGGAAGGAAAGATATTTGGATAGGACTCATCAGCCGGTTAGAGTGGCGGAGTTTATGATTCCTGGAGTGTAAGGTGGGATGAGCCAAACGTGAACAGGGTGCTTCTTAGGGAGGATGCTTCCTAGGTCCTGAATACCTTGATTGCACCAGCCCAGAGTGATATGATATTGTGGAGCCATCATAGTTTGGGATTTTACTCTGGTAAATCGGGATACAATTGGCTTAAAATTCAGAATAGTCCCACCTTGATTGTGGAAGGTATTTGGAATGTTGTGGCTAAGGCGAATGTTCTTCCAAAAATCAGGATTTTTGGTTGGCACCTGTGCCATGAAGCTCTTCCTGCGGGGTCAAAAATGAAGCAAGCTAACCTCGAAGATGGTATATGTCTTTGTAATCAAGAGTTAGAATCGGTGTTGCATGCGATTAAAGACTGCCCTGTTTCGAAGACGGTTCTTTCGATGTCCGGGCTTCCCCAAGAAGTTGTTGATTGGAATGGGAGTTCTTGTCTCCTTTGGCTATCGTATGTTCGATCTAAGTTGAGTAGTGAAGGATTTGATCTGTTCCTTGCCTTACTTTGGAATATTAGGAACCGACGTAATAATTGGGTGCATAATGGGGACTTACAAATCAGATAGAGATATCATTTTGAACTCTAAACCCCCACTAAAACCTCCCATATGGCATCTATGGCCAAAAAGGGATAAAAAAAAAGGGATTGATTTTAAACTATGGTGAAGAAGATTATGATTCTTACCTTTAGAATTTTTTATAAGGCTTGCAAGGCACTAAATTTAGCTAATTTCCTCAGGATACAAGAACCAATGTGAGTTTTTGAAAGAGGGAATAAGACAAAGGTAGGGAAAATGAGAGATGAAGAGGACCAACTTTTCTCCTTAAGTCTAGGCATGTGACCTCACCAAAATTAGCCTTAGAAAATAATTTGGGGTAATTACCTCCTTGGCCCCTCTAACTTTGGTTTCAAAATAAAATACCCTTTTATCTATAATTGGGCTCAACCCAAGCCCAATTCAATTCCAACTTAGGCTAAGGATTTCTACAAGATAAATGGGTTATCCAAAACCCACTCGACTTAGCTCGAAACTACTAACTCGAGATTTAGGGTGTTAGCTTATATTTCCATCCTTTGATATATTTCTTAAACGTTTTGGACCAAGAATATAAACCCTAATAAGGATTATATTGAACTAATCAAACTAGGGATTATTGAACTCGACGATGGTGGTTTTACAACTTCACCCTAAGAAAGAACATTCAATCCTAGAATGATCAAATTTTATCAAATTTGATTGACCATAAATTTGGAATAGTAAGAAGAAAGACATACATCATGATTTTTTAAATTTTTAATTATCAGGTAAGACTTTTGTTAAAAGATCAACATGATTTAACGACTGAGTGACTTAAATCAAACAGATCGATAACATAAGGGTCCAAACACACTTAAATTTTAAATCGATGACCAATTCGATCAGAAAAAAATAAACGAGATTATTAGTATAACTTACACGATAGAAAAATTATAAATATTCAATTTAATTTCTAAATTTTGTTATAAGTTTTTAATTAGTCCCTAATGATATTAAGTGAATTAATTTATTGAATATGATCTCTAAATGATTAACAAGTGGTTTTATGACTCAAAATGATTAATTATTGTAAATAAATTAGAATTTTTATGAAGATAAAATTTAGTCCCTCAACTATTAGTTAATTATATATTAGTTCTTGAAATTTTAAAAATTGCATTTTGTTCTTTAAGCAATATTCATTTCTGAAAATGAATTGTTGGAAAAAAAATTGATAATTTTGGAGCTTTGAAAGAGAAATTGATCCAAACGTTGTTGAGGAAAATATGGAACCAATTGTTGGTTGGTACATGTGCAGAAGTGCACAATGTTGGTAACGTTAATATCTGAATTGGTCAAGCTTTTGTGGTCTTACGAATACTTTAACCCAAATGTGAAATATTTTTGCTTAAATAGAACATATCTTTTCAAAATGTGTTTTGGAATTAAAAGGATAAATATTAAAAAGTTCCTTTAATCAAAACAATAATTTTGGAAATTGCTTAATTGCTTGATTCCCATTAATGCTTCATTAGGTCAAAATTTTCCAATTGTTCATAATATGGAATCCCTATAAATGTTGTGTTAACCTACTAGGTTAAATGCAATTCAAACTCAAAAACCAATTCAAATGAATTCTTTTCTCTAGTTTTTGGTGATAGGCGAAGACAAGAAATAGTTCGTGATCTCAATAGTTGTGCTACTATGCGCTGATCTTCTCGTTGTTGTATCATAGGAGACAGACGACCGAAGATCTCGAGCACCAAGGAGTGGCCAAAAATATGTCTTAAGTAAACTGCGTAATTGCAGGCCTCAATTTATTTCTATTTATATATTAATAGTTTTCTATTCATATTATTTAATCTGATATTTTTCATGTTATTAATTGTGTTTGTTTTATTCTTGATTCATGTACACAAATTTTACAATGAGATCCTGCTGAGGAATTGCATGTCGTTTGATGCGACTTGTATAAATCACTATGGAACTAAATTATGAATCTATAAAATATTTGATTTTTTATTTTCTTTTTCTCTTAGATTGTTATACCTCTAACAATCTAAGACATATTATATGTTCTACCTTATTGGAAAAAATAAATCCGAGACGATTCGAAAATCTTGAAAAATCGATATAAGAAAATAAATTTGTTTTCGGGGTTTATCCTACCATTTTAAAGGGTTTGCTTAATTTCAAAGTGGACAAAACTGGGTAATAGAAATTTTCTTTAAAGTAACGTTGGTTACTAAGTTTGAAACGTTGTTTCTGTTCTATAATAAAAAAAATCGAAAATAAGTGAGATTGATTTGAATTTGCGCAATGATACATGAGTTTTTTTTTTTTTTTGCAAACTGTTTTGCAAACTAACGTAGAAACCAACATGGGTAAATACACAAATGCATGGTGATTAACACATGGTAACTAGTGCATGATGATTTGTCTTCTTTTTTTTTTTTGCAAATAAAAGAATAAATTTGATTCTTTGGTTATGGAAAAAATTTCCATAGATTCTTTCTATATTATGGTATTATTGGATAATATCATTATGGAAAGATTTCACCCATAAAAGTGCACGTGAGCATTAATAATGATATTATTGTTATGATATTATTACCATATAACCTTTGGCATATTAGTATAGAATATTAAATATGGCATGAATAAAGAATACCCTTGGTATTTATAATTATTTTCATAACCATTTTTTTTCGAAAATCGATTTAAAAATAATTATGTCTTTGTTTTGGAAAATTGGGGTTTTTGATGAAATTTGAATTTATTTGATTTGGAGTTGCATTCGACCTTTAGGTTAGGTACGT